TTGTTCTTTTTTTCTCCCTCTCTCTCTCTCTCTCTCTCTCTCTCTCTCTCTCTCTCTCTCTCTCAACTTAAAAGGGAGGGAAAATCCAATCATTTAATGATTAAAAGTGGAGGGATTGACGATTTTTTCCTATATAATCGAAAGGTTGGGATGGATTATACAAAAAAAAAAAAAGGTTGATGATAGATTTATTAAATTTATCAAATGTTAGGGACGAAAACTGCAAATTTCTGTAGTAGATATTAAATACCAAAATTAAGATATTAAATTGAGAAATTATTGATATGATCGTCCACCATAAACCGGAGTGAATTCCACTTGTACCATTATTTCTTATCAATATCTATGCACTTTATCCGGTAAAAGACGAGGTAACATTAATTCCATGTCGTTAAAGCTTATTCTTAACACCTAATTAACACAATAATGACTTGTTTGATATTGTTGGATTAAACTCAACTAGGGCATTCTAAAGGGGGAAAAAATATTAAAATTTTGTATCTGTGATATCCAATCATATCAAATACAACGTAACAAAATATATTTGCAACATCTCTACTGATTAAGTCGGAATACCACGAGCTCTCATTGGGCTCGTGTTCTAGTTACTCCACCACATGCTCTCAAAGGCCACAATCTTTTGAACTTTCTAGTCCCACTACCACAAGCTCTCAGGGCACGATCTTTTGAAACTTCAATCCTCGTGTTCTAGTCCTACATAATTATTTTGTAAGCCTCATTTTGTGCTCAATAAATATCCCACTAATTTTATAGTGAACAATTGGTTCGAATATTCATCTTGTAGTTCCTAGCATACGTCAAGTCAAACAAATGTTGTATTTTTATCTAGCTCGTTATATATTTTATTATTCCCATTATATATCAAGATTAACATGAAAAGAGATAATATGCCTCTCTCTCTCTCTCTCTCTCTCTCATTGATAATCGAATAATATATTGTAGTAATAATAATTTTTCATTAATTCATTCTTTTCTTCTTTATTTTCTATACAAGTGCAATCCAGAAAGGAAATCCCAAGCAAGAATCTTATCACAAACTTGCTTCTCCTTTATTCTAGATTAGTTCTGGTTGGATTGGAAGGATCCCACCAGCCACTGCTAAGTAGGGCCCAAAATGCACCCTTTTGGCAACTGGCATTGACACTATATATTCCTATTCCAATGCACTTTGATTCTACTAACAGGCACTAGATCTTTCAAACATCCCTCATTTTCCATTCAAATCTCAAACCTCTTCAGCAAATTTTGGTGAGCAAGTTAGAACTGCATCTGCCACGGTGAGAAATATGTTGTCTTCGCCTATCAGACTTGTGAAACTAGACGCATGAAGCTTGTCCATCACGTTCGGCCCGGGGTTCGCCAGAACAAGCTGCTCGACGGTTAGAAGATTTTCAAGTTAATTTTTCGACTTGCATAATGATTTTGAGTTCTGGATATGTAGACAAACTTGCTTATGTATTGAATGAAGTTAAATTGATTACCTGAACAGATCTCTTTTGGAGACTTCTGTACAGCTCTTCCAATGCATGGATGCCGCTGGTGTCTATGTCAGTAACAGCTGCGAATAATGAGAATTTGTGAGAGATCGTATCAGCTCGGAAATTATTGGAAGAGGTAAGAAACTACTTACGTGACATTTCGACTATCAAAAATTGAATCTGAGGAAGGCCACCTCTTTTTAGCCGTTCTTCCTCGTCTATTAGCCACCTTAATATCCTACAAACATTAAAACTTCAGAACTGAAGTCATGATATACATAGATGATGCTACAAAACTTTACAAAAGAGAGAAAAAAAAAAAAAAAAAAAAAGAACCTCCAAAAAAAATTATTATTCTTAAAAAAAAAAGTAATAATGCAAAAAGATGTATTAGTCTTAACAAAACAAGTTATAATGCTAAAAGATTAGAAAAATGGCAAATATTAAAAAGAAGAAATGCTCAAGAGAGAAATTTGTGCCTTGTCAGGTTATTCAAAATTTCAATCTTCATTACTTAAAAGTAGTAGCAATTATGATCTGCTGAGGAGAACGAAATGGGAAGACATACTACCTCTCCTTAATATAGTTAGAGTTAGAAAAGTAAATTGCCGAATCAACCCTCACGATTAACACACCTGGGACCTTCGTTGCCTCGGGATATTGTTGGATATTCCTATAAACATTTGTCCTAGGAATTTTTCCAAGAATTGTTATCCTCGGCCTAGTAACTTGTAAGAGTAATTTGGCAAAAGATATTGAGACCTATCATCAGAACAGAAAACATTTAATTCATTAAGTACAAATCTTATAAGCAATTTGAAAAGAGAGGCAGATTCTCACCGCAATTAAGAGCCCAATCTCAACAGCGGCAAAAACTACCCCAAAAAAGGCTCCCATACAAGCAACGAAATCAAATTTATCAGTTTTCCAAATCAAAATCGCAGCCTTATAGTCAATTAAGCCGATGACTGCAGAGATAATGATGGACGAGAGGATTGCATTCGGGGTGTACTCAAAAAGAGGTGTGATAAACATTAACGTTAAGAATACAACAAAGGACATAACGATGTTAGAAACTGCTGTTTGGCATCCAGCCATGTAATTCACTGCAGAACGGGAGAAGGAACCTGCACGTTGCCAAAATAACGGTTCAAAAACTAAAATATCATTCTGCATTTCTCATACCGCTATCAATTTGTACCTGTTGCCACATAACAGGAAGTCATAGAGCCAACTATATTCATTGCTCCAAGAGCAACCATTTCTTTGTTTCCATCTAGTTGATAGTCCTTCGTGGCAGCAAACGTTCTTCCAATTGCAACAGCTTCCTAATAAGTATCAAATTAATGAAAAAAGTCGTGAATTTACTAGAAAAAAGGAAGAAAAAATTGAATGAATTCTCAAGGAACTTCTCCACCAAGCAAAATATATGAAACTAGCTTACCGTCAATGCAATCATGCCAGCCACAATGCCAATCCTAAAACCCTTCGAAAGATATTCACCAGTAAAATAAATCTGATTCATGGATGAGGGATTAATTCCTTTATCAATATGTTTCACCTGGTTATGCCAAATGCGGATTAGTACAAAATAATTACAATAGACTACATTGTTATGAAATGAAAGTAGTCATAAAAGGCTTACAATTTGTACTCCTCGCTTCTCTGCGTGGGTAATATACACGAAGACCGTAGACAGAATAACAGAGATCAGTGGAGCGATAGCTGGTACCCAAAAGAGTTTCTTGTTCTTCTTCCCCTGCACCTCGCATTGTGTTAAAACTAATGAAGCCGAAAATCATCAGATATACAAAATACATTGGACGGAACTCGGAAGTTGGGCGTCTTACAATGTACTTGGCAAGTAGAAGAAAGGCTAAAAATGTTGCTCCTATCACAATCGTCTGCCAATTCCACTGAAATAGAAAGTACTGGAAATTTAAAGCAAACTTAAAGCTGGTAATTCATGCAGACGGAGAGCGAGAGAACTTACTCCATGGTAGGCGGAGCCCCACACGGACTGCATGACTGATATAATATCCGTCTTCTTTGTAAATTTTTTTATGCCTAAAAGTCCTTTAAGTTGTTGGAGTGCAATTGTTATGGCAGCACCTCCCATAAAACCAACGATCGCAGCATGAGATAGGAAGTCGATTAAAAAACCCAATCTGCACATAAAACCAAAATTAAATAGCAGTAAAACACTACGAAATCACCAGCAAAAAAACCAGAAAGCAGAAAATTTCGCAGAAATTGAATAGTTTGACAACAACTGAACTCAGATACCTAAGAATACCGAGGATAGCTTGGGTGATGCCAGCAAAGAAAGTAGCTGTGAAGGCAAGTCTACGATATTCAACTGCATTATTAGTGGGATCAATCTCGTTCTGCAGTAGAGTCCCCAGGAGTAGAGAAACGACAGCAACCGGCCCTATGGCTATATCCCTCGAGCTACCCATGAAGGCATAGATCAAGGGAGGGACAAAGCTTGAATCTGATCTAGTCAAGACATTATGCGGGGGAAAAAAGCACATAATCACATTCTTGTCATCGTAAAGGATACGTTTACTTATCATATGTTTGGCTAGGAGATTAACAAGGACGGTACTACGGAACAAAAATAAGCCAAATCTTGTTTATTATACAATTCAATAATATCTAGTGCTCCATACTAAGCATGTACTGAATGAATGTCCGGTACTTACACAAACCATATTGAGGAGCTAAATTTGCAAGTTTTGAGTAGCCGATGTCCTGTTGCACAATTAACAGACATTAAATCAGCAAAATACAAAAGCTCTTAAATTCCCATTGTCTTGTATGTATCTTGTATGCATATATTGTACCTGAGGAATGCAGAGGCTCGCAATGGTAAGCCCAGCAATTAAATCTCCTTTAAGTTTAGCTAGATTATAGCTTCGACCCCAATCAAGTATCGGAAATACAGCTTGCATCGCAAGAACGAACTTCCGAGACCTGGATTGATCCTTAAATGTACGTAAAGGATCATCTGCAAAGAATGTTTCCTTCAACGTGGCAGAGAATTCCTTCCACGGGTGTTTCTTTGGAGGTACACCTACCTTGTGAACACAAGGAAACATATGACGGTTTGAAGATGACAAATTTCTAACAGCGATCTCTTCCCTGTCCATTGACTCCTCAATATGATGACCCCTCTGAAACGAGACTAGAAAATCGTCCTATACAAAGAAAACAAATGCTGGTTAAATTGGAGGGTAGATTGGTCAATAGCATAGCAATAGGGTGTCAATAGTCTAACACTCAACAAAAAGTCTATATTACACTTTCAGGTTGTATTGAATTTAAAGATAATCACTTCTACAAATGAAAAGGTCATAAAGCAAAAGAATGATGATAAAATTATGTAAGTTAAGCTATACTCTTAAGACAGAATGAACGGAAGCAAGCAAAAGCAGGACGAGACCCCAAAATATTCTCGAATTGAAAGTATTCTTGAGTGGAGGAACATGGATTGTTCCTTCTTATATAAATCCTTAAGAAATAGTGGTCAAACTTTCCGAGCTGGAAATGAAGGCAATAGTAGGATACATGAATCTAGATTTTTCTCTCTATTCACATTCTGTTGAAATAGATTTAGACTGATACAAGCAATGAGATCAGCAGAAAATGGACATGGTTTGTCAAGAGAGAAAAAATTCTTTCAACTGCTACAAGCATTTTTGGCTAAGCTTAATAAAAATTAAAAGTATTTCTTTGGAAAGTAAGAACTAAAATCTAAAAGATAAAATTCTAAAAAGCTGAGAGCTCAAACATGTTTGGCAAGCCTAGTATGCTCCATTTGTTTAATTTACGTCAAACTTCAGACGAGTTTTATTTTTCCCCTCGCAGCAAGACTATTATCCATAACGTTGCAGGTGATGCTCTTGTTGCTTATGGAGAAAGTACAGCCAGTGAAGATGAAATGGAAAAGCATTCAAACAATAACCGAAAAAACTAAGATTATACCTAATAAACTTGGAATGAGAAATCTTACAATGCTTCGTAATGCATCTAATACTTTTTATGAAACAACGGATCAAAATATAGATGTCGTTATAGTCAAAGCTGCTACTTCTTAATTAGCCTAGTGACAAACATGCTTCCATCAACAATGACCATTTAAAAAATGAATATGTTATAAATGAACTAACTCTGCCTATGTTATTCAAAGCCGATCCCAAGCCCAAGCAAAGGAGGAGGATTGTGGAAAGTTAACAACCAGCATAGAACTTTATCAAATCTAATGACATGAACCAAACGGGGCTGAAAAAAGAATTCATGTAGCTCCAAATTAATTAGGAACATGACTAGTTTGTGGTCGTTATTGTTGTTGAATATGACATAATGAACCTGAAGATAAAAGCTCTAGCTCTATGGTCGTGATGTATTAGCATTCATTTTTTGATTACTCTTGATCATGGTTCGCAATGAATTTTGAACCCCGAACTCTCATTCCTAAGTAAAAACCAAACAAAAGAAGGAAGAAGCAATTAATGTTATACTTAAAAATGAAGTGATAAACACATCAAATCATTACATAAGTACAATTTTCTAATCATTTCATGCTATATATTCCTTTGTCAAGGAAATGGTTCCATTATTAACTTCACCCCTCTATCTGTGCATCATCAAATGAAAGTTTAAAGAAGGTCTCACCCTCTCTGCACCAAGCGGTAAATGTGGAACCTTTGCTCAAAGGGTGTTCGTTTTATGCCTTTATACTTGCTCAAAGGGTATTATAAAACAAAGACTAAAATAGATATATTGAAATCTAATGAGAATAGAGGTTAGTTAATGCACCATAAAAGCATGTTAGAAATAAAGTTTTGGACAATATAATATATAAGATTTTTGTTATTCTGATCTTTTCTTAATACTGTCATGTCCACATCATCAAACATGCGTTAAATGTAATATATATTAGAACAATGTTATGTGCATACAATGGTGTACGCATTGCATTACACCCCCCTCACATGGAGGGGATCCAACATACAATAAAATATTTGTGAGCCCCCCTCCATGTGAAATGGGTGTAGGCCATTGTGTACACCATAAGGTGTACGCATAGCAATATCCTATATATTATTTATTCAACATTATCTTTCCTTTCTTGTACATTCAAATATAAAAATTATAATGCTTTCACTGTGTACTGTTCCTTCTCTTTCCTTCCTTTCCTTCAATATTTTTCATTTAAACAATTTCTCCTTTAACCATATAACTTACACATTGATAACAATATATTCTTCTCAAATGCTTATTAAGCACTCAAAATATTGGCTCTACGTCTGGAAAGGAGAACAAATAATAGAAGAAACAAAGAACATTATAAAGAATTGTGCCATTATATAATAATACCACACAAGTTTCCTCGTATCTTTTGGCGTAACTAGTTATTCCTTACCTCAAGTCCAAATTGATTATTGAACGGTGAAGATCATGACATGTTTGCATGAAGCTATTCTTGCAATAGCTTAACCTTTGGTGGAATTATTGGTAGAAGTTCTAGTGTGGGACAATTCACTTCAACTCAATTTTATAGTTCATGCTTTTATATTGCAACTTCTTACTATTGTATTTATGTTAATGCACTTTTGTGTGATACATAAACAAGGCATTTTCCTCATATTGTACGCAAAAGATAAGCTTTTCGAGCATATCACATCTAATTATTATCATTCTCTGTCCTATACTTCCTTTCCTCTTGAACCAAATAGAATCGATGATTTTTCCGTCTTTAATTTTCATTTAATTGAAACTAGACACCTTTTTATTAACCATTTTGTTCTGTCATGGTGTATTACAATTTCCTTTAAACAACATAAATTGTACATTATTGACAACCTATTCTTATGAAATGCTTATTTGGCATATTTGCTGTAGTGGACTAGATAGTATAACTAAAAAACAAAAATAAGTTAACATATGTTACACAACCCAAGTTTAACATTGGATATCAAAAGTACTCAAAATATTAGCTCTACTTCCGGAAATGAGTACACATATTAAAAGAAACGAAGAAACCATTTACAAAATTGTGCAAACAAAATTGTGCTTTATATAATAATATTGCACAAGTTTCAAAAGATAAGCTTTTGCAGCATACCAAATCCATATGCTATTTTATTGAAAAGCAACAAAAGAATGCGGCTAAGAATGTAAAAGGGTAATCAATTTTTTCTATTGATGAATACATATTGAGTAGTTAGTATGTAGAAAACAAAGTTAAAACAAATAATTTTGTCGCCTCTAATGACAAACGTTTAGATTAGGTGGTTTAATGTAGGTATACATGAAAATTATGAACATATTAGGCTTGTGACAAGAAAAATGAATCCGACCCTTAAGCGAGGGAATGTGTTGAAAAAAAATTTAAAGTAAATAAATGTTACTTATCTTTAAGGTTTAAGATTATAGATGATGTTGTTTAACATAATACAATGATACTCACGATATTTTTTGCCATTTCATTTGGTTCATTGCTACAACAACATAAAATAAAATCTGGTAATCCAAATGCATACCCTAAACCTTGAATGATCCAGCCTATCCCACCCACCCCTCAAAACCCAACCAGAAAGACCATAAAAAGGAAGTTAAAAAGGCATCTGGCGACCTTTCAAATTGAAAAGGAGACATTCCAATCAGCTTTCTGTAAGTTGAAGAAGTATAAAATCCCATTACTTTGCCAAGAGAATAAAAATTCAAACCAGAAAGTGCAAAATATCACCAGAGTCTCTAAACATCATTGACAGTTGATAGAACATTTGACATCGTGAAAATCATGTCCCCACATCCCACTCTGCACAAAAAAAATAAAATAATAATAATAATAATAAATAAATGAAAAGAAAAAGAAAAGCACTTTCTAGAAAACTAAACAAATTAGAATTATTTGAGTTATTTTTCCAATGATCACTGAACTTTGGTCCATATTTTTTATTGGTCATTCAAGTTTAAAATATTGAGTTTTGGTCACTGAATTTATATCAATGTCTTTGATTGCTCACTGAACTTAGATCCATGTCTTAGATTGTTCATTAAAGTTTAAAATCTATAGTTTTGGCCATTGAACTTTGGAATATGTCGTACGTTACTCACTAGTATAACTGTTTAACTTTGAAAAATATCGAGTTTACAGTGAGTCATTACATCATTTTTCAAATTTCAGTAAGTAATGTACAATATTTTTTAAAATTCAGTGAATAATATATAACATTTTTCAGAGTTCAATAGTCAAAACTCGATATTTTAAACTTCAATGAGCAATCGAAGACATGGACTTAAGTTCAGTAATCAAAACTCGATATTTTAAATTTCAGTGACCAATTAAAGATATAGACCTAAATTCAATGACAATTAGAACAATTAACTCGAATTATTTCATACTCAAACAGACACAAATTAAATAAACCACCATATACTTTTTCCTTTTTGCCCGCACATCCAATGGTCCTCGTACTTCTGGAAATCTCAGCTCAAAACACGTCTAGGTTCGATGAATCTGAGAACCACTCTTTCTTGAATTTTTTTTCTGGCCAAGAATATTTTCAAAGATATAATGATATCAGAAGAAGTTCCAGTTGTTAAAATCGGATTTGCAATTTTGTTTGAATCCGATTAATTTAAGAAGAAAATAAAGTACTTATAAGTTGTTTTATGATTATGGGGACAAATTCTGACAATAAAAAGGGTGAAATAATGTAAGAAAATTCAATCACGCTACATATACACTTAATTTGATATTATTTTTGACATTGTATCAAGTGTCACGGCATGAGTAAACAAAAAATGTACAAGTGGGATAATTCGAGGGACTCACGTGCATTTTAAAAGTCAAATGGAACGAAAAAATTACGTTTGTAATTGTATTCTATTGTTTATCACGAGAACAATAATGGACATTTATTCTAAAAGTTCAGCTGATTGTATAAGCCTGGGATAGGGTCCAGATTCAGTGAGAGTTAGGAGCTTGGTTTTGTGTACCATTGTTGAAGTTACACGTAGAAAACAACTCAAACGAATCTAACTCACATCAGCCTCCAATCCATGCTTGTACAGTTGGACTGATCTCCTTTCGATGGAAGCATAAATTGAAATGAGCCTCAACAAAGTCCTCGAACAAGTTTTCTTGTTTTACTTTACATACACTGTGTTATTGTTTGGTTTTATTAAGAATTAAAATTATATTTTATATAAAACTGATAAATGTGTGGTTGAAAGTCGATAAGGTTTTATGTCTCATAAATATTGATTTTAACTTAATTTTTATTAAATTTTAAATAAACCAAATATAGATTATGTATATTGTCACATTGGATACCCTTTTTACGTATTTTTCTAATGAAAATTTTGCCCTCTTCCATAATAGCCACTGTTTGGTTCTCTTTAATTTAATTTAATTTTTTTTTTATATTCATTTTCAATCACACATTCTACAAAAAAATATTTTATACGTAAATTCAAAAAATTTCATATTTTTTAACTACATATTCTAGGAAAAAAAAAACTATTTAAACATAAATTTTTTAAAATAATAACCACCAAACAGAGAATATAACGGGTCATATCTAGCACTACAATGCTAGAAGCAAGTCCATGCCTCAATCCATTTCAGATGAGGTTGTGTAGAGTTGAGCTTTCACATGTCAAGTCGTCCAAATTTAGTCAACCGACACATTTCTCTTTCCTACTAGCAATAGGTGTCAAACGGGCCAAGTAACCAATTGTTTAGCAGGTAGAATAAGGGTTTTTCCTCTTGTACACTAGCACACAGCTTTGTGTATAGTCATCTCACAATATGAGCGGGCTCGCATAAATATTATATTTGTGGACCCCTTCATTGTGAGCGAGGTGTATGATATTGACAAAGGTATTCTATAAGTCTCAAGTCAATGTGTCGCATGACCAAATTTATTTAACAAAGATATATATTTAGTATGGCGAACTAACAAAATTGGAGATTGACTTTACATACTTATCGATTGTCAATGATAAACGACAATTTGAACCCTACTATTCTATGGCTATTAATTTACTAGTCAAGTTGCATCTTTTTATGTTAATTAAAAAAAAAATTATTTTTCTTTTAATACACCAACAAAAATTTATAATTTGTTTGATTTCCATTTTTTTCAGAATATATTTTTCTCTCCCTTCTTTTCAACCACATATTTTTCAATAAAATAATATTACTCAAATCAAATTTTTTTCCTTATTTTTAAGCACACATTTTTCATTAATCTACTATTTCAAAATGCATTATTTCAATTTAATGGGACTCAAACAAGCCCTAATTTGATAGAATTAGATATACTAACTATAACTTCTGAATATTATTACTATGATGATGAAAATTTCAAATATTAACATATTGAGAAGTAAAGTGGAAACTTTTATTATACATTTCCAAGTGATTTTTTAAAAATAAGATGTTATTTATTTTAGGAAGCTGATATTAGAAATAAACTCTAAGAGATTTTATATTTTAACTTTTCAAAATAAAGAGTGAGTTTGATTCAAATTTTGAAAGTGAAACTTTGTCTTTATTCTTATTTTATAATGATTCTGTTCAATAGTTGAACATTTCAATACTATACTCCTTAAAAATATTTAAATCATATTTGGATTGATTGATCATTGTTAATAAATAAATAAATAAATAAATATATATATATATATATTAAAGAGAATTCAATAACTATTTTTTGAACAATTAAAAAAGCCAAAATAGAGAGTAATGTTGAGTTGTATAGAAGATTTACTCTCTAAACTTAAAGATATTCTTTATAAATAGAAAGTCTCTTGAAGATTCTCTAATATCATTTTGAATTTACTAGGGTAAATAAATTTTGACAAATAGATTATTAATTTCCACCCTAGATAATCTTTAATTTATGAAAACCAATAGAAAATTCCCAAACACAATATATATCCTAAATATGGACCAACATAATTTAAAGTGGATAACTATTGGAAATTAATTATGGTGCACAGAGTTGCAAAAAAGTTGTTAAATCTACCATGTATAAAAGGCTAAATTTATTTACACTACAATTTTTAATAACTAGACTATATTTTAATTGTATAAAAGGCTTATAACATTTTCACATTTTCATAGTTATCTCTCAAAATTTTTTCATCACATTTTTATTTTTAAATTAACATAAATTGTTCTTAATTATGATTTCTCTCCAATTTTTCTTTAAGATACAACAAAAACATGCGTTTGCCCATTGTATTTTTGAATAAGCAAAATAAATAATAAATAATAAATAATAATGTAAAATTGTGTTAAATATTTAACTTTCATTTTAAAGTAGATTAACAAGTTTTTTGAACAAATCATGATTAATGACAAGATTTTCATTTCAAAGAAATGTTAAAAATAAGAATATGATAATGAATCAAGTTTAATAGCATTTAACCTAATTAAAATGTCTTGTATTTATAAATAAATAAAATTTGTGAATATAATCGTCGTAAATAAAATGTGTAGAGATAAGTGAGAAATATTTACTTTCCCATTTTGTCCTTGTACATTTTATTTTTGACTTACCCTTATTCAATCCTTATAATTTACATTTTGTAACACTAATAAATTCCTGCATGAAGTTATTATTAATATATCTTATGATATTCGTCCTTAAATACGATTATTATTTAACATTTGAAACTTACTGATTTGATTAATGTTTTTAATATGAAACTTTTTTTTTCATTACATG